TGTCTCAGTGCTGATTTTTCTTTGTGGCACTGAGACAAAGGATCTTTCAGCAAGACAATTTTACGTTCTGTAGAAAGGGTGCTCCCATTAGCTATCTTGCCACGAGAGTACAACAAACAAAGGAAAAGCAGACATATTTATCTTTTACACATTTGGGGTTGTCCTTACTGCTGTGTCTGATCTCTGTTGGTTGGAATCAGGTCGCACAATCTAAAACTGAAATTTATAGGCTAATAACTTAAAACTTTATTGAATAGGTAAAGGCCATGGAGAACAAAAGGAAAAGGGGAAGGCTAAATAAGGAAGGGACAGGAAGTTGCATGCAAAAGGACTTAGACAAGTAATCACATAAATATCTTGGTTAAAGTACAAGGACATAGAATGTACTACATGCCTTTGAGCATGTCTAGCACAAATATCTTGGTTAAAGTGCAAGGACATAGAATGTATTACGTGCCAGTGAGCATGTCTAAGAACTACATATGATAAGGCTTAACAAAGAGTTATTAGTAAAAAGCAAGAAGGTTTTGAAGAAAGTCTTTAAAACAAACTATTATTTCTAACACTTATGATTTATTCTTTATCAAGAAAGGAAATTTTGAAGAGGAACTTTTCTACTTCCCACAGCCACCATGCCTGGCCTATTATGTTTTATTATTTTTAAATCCCTTAGATTTACCCCTCAAATATTTATTATTCATCTCCCTCATCACGTGTACCCCCAAATGAGGCAAGGACCTTGGTTCCTTATCCTCAGTGGCTGAAGCAGTAGTACTTGACACAAGGTAGACATTTAGCAAATATCTGTTGCTCGAATGATTGATTGAAACTCAACTGAAAGGTTCCATGTACACTATGTGAGATTTTTGGTTTCGATTTATTAGTACTTGTCATTGTTGGTGGTACTTGATAAACCATGCCAAATTTTCTTCCTTGTTATCTGGTTCTGAAAGAAGACATATTAGATCCAAAGAAAAATCGGATTGAACCAATATCATTTATATGGTGTATCCATAGCCTCTCTGAGGCATCTCCCTACCTACTCACCCTCTGCTCTGTGCTCTCAATGTGGCTCTGACATGTCCATTATTGATGAGTCAATCACACTTGTTACCACCATAGCAGTATAACAATGGCTAGATGAAGAGAAAGAGGATTATTTTGGAAACAAAAAACAAAACAAAACAAAACAGTACCATCCCAAAGAGTGAAAAAATCACTTTAGGGAGCCTGCGTCTGCTGTGACTTTGCTTATGGAGTCAGCCTGGCCCAGAAACAGTGGGAGGGCTTTGATGAGCAGTCAAGGCCAACCCATCTCTCAGATGAACAGAAAATGATGACTTGAGAAGGATAGCTTCAGAGATGACAGAAAGCAAACTAGGGACATATCATCAGATAAATGAAGAGGGAATGATACTTGGGGAAGACATGAGATCTGAAATGTTAAAGCTAGTCATAGAAGAAAAAAAGATGGGTATCCCTTTAATTTTATATCTGGACCCAACTGCCTCTACATTTGGGGATGAGGCTAGAAGTGGATTGGGGACATGTTTTTAATGATAGTGGACCTGGGAAAATGTCTGGGTCCCAAAGAGATTTAATGGAAGGGGAATGAAATGATACTAGGGAGTAATTTGGAATTATACCCCAAGAAGGAGCCTAGATTCAGGAAATTATTGAAAGTCGCCCTCTGATGGTGACAGATAGAAAGTCCTTATTAAGAACAATTGGGGGACATTCCTTTGATCCTAGGGTCAACTCCTCAAGATAGTTACAGAAAACTTAGGTTTAAGAAAAGAACGCTGGAAACATGATTGGAGAGTAGTTTAGGTATTCTTTTTCTTTTTTTGAGATGGAGTCATGTTCTGTTGCTCAGGCTGGAGTGCAGTAGCATGATCTCGGCTCACTGCAACCTCCGCCTCCTGGGTTCAAGTGATTCACCTGCCTCAGCCTCCCGAGTAGCTGGGACTATAGATGTGCACTACCATGCCCAGCTAATTTTTCTATTTTTAGTAGAGACAGGGTTTCAGCATGTTGGCCAAGATGGTCTCGATCTCCTGACCTCATGATCCACCTGCCTTTGCCTCTCAAAGTGCTGGGATTACAGGCATGAGCCACCGCATCCAGCCCTGGGTATTCTTTTGAGGGTTTCAAAGTGATGTGGTTTTTGTAGGTGGAGAAGCACATGCCATGAGGAGCATATTCAGGTAATGTACAAGGATAGGTCTCTAAGGAAACAAGATACACCAACATGAGCCAGACAGAAACACACAGAATAGGTGTAGGGCATTATAGGCAAACTCTGACCCAGGTCTCCCATTTTCACCCTCATATAATAAACTATATAAAAATTGCATTTTGGGCAGGGTACAGTGGCTCATGCCTGTAATCCCAGCACTTTGGGAGGCTGAGGCGGGTGGATCGCCTGAGGTCAGGAGTTTAAGACCAACCCAGCCAACATGGTGAAACCCCAGCTCTACTAAAAATACAAAAATTAGCTGGCATGATGGCACATGCCTGTGATTCCAGCTACTCAGGAGGCTGAGGCAGGAGAATCACTTGAATCCAGGATGCAGAAGTTGCAGTGAGCCTAGATTGTGCCACTACTTTCCAGCCTGGGCTACAGTGCGAGACTCTGTTTCAAAAAAAAAATTGCATTTGGAAATTTTAAAGGCAAT